GGGGCAGCGGGAGCCGGTGGCCGGTGGCCACCGGCTCCCGCTGCCCTTGTAGGACAAGCTGAGCTGCTTCAGCCCTGCACAAGCATCAACATGTTCCAGCTCGGAGCAGTTTGGCTCCTTTACCAGTGCATTGTTTGTGGGGTTGCTTTTGTTTTTTATTAAAAGTGACTCGTATGTAGCCGGAAAGAGGGGGGGAAAAAAAAATATTAAAAAAAAAATAAAAATCCTTAGGGTCTGAAAACTCAAAAGCAGACCCCTCACACACACATGAGGTGGGTTCTTCTTGCTCCTTGCCTTCTTCTGGAGGGGCAGCTGGCTTTGTGGTGCCCGGTAAGGATGGGAGGGATGTTAGCAAATGGAGGGATGTGGAACAACCTGTTTGCCCGTTCCCGGCTGGGTGCGGTAGGGAAGGGCCCACAATAGCTCCTATAGTTCTCCCGGAGCGATACTGTGAGTCAGACCCACGTAAACAGCAGCTCCTCCTTGCCTGTTTGTGCTTTTGCAGAGAGGTGTGCGAGGCAGGTGAAGCCCCCCCCCCCCCCCCATCTTTATATTTGCCTCCGGGCTTCGGTGAGATGCTTAAATCTTGGGTTTGTTGACCCTGTGGGACGTGTGTTTTTTGGCAGCAGGGCTAGTACGGAGCTCACCCTTCTCTGGACAATTTGCAGGGTGACCCAGGCTCTCGCCCTGTTCCCTGCCCTGCGGTAATTGTTGTGTTTAATGTACAAATACCACGGGTAGGTGATGCAAAACACCCGTGGTGTGAGTGGCCAGGCGTCCTCCAACACCTGGCTGTCCCCACCATCAGCACACGGATCCTCCGCCGAGCCAGGACCTGAGATATTCAGGGGAGGTTCAGACTGGATATCAGGAAAAATTTTTACAGGGAAGGAGTGCCAGGACCTGAGATATTCAGGGGAGGTTCAAACTGGATATTGGGAAAATATTTTACATGGAAAGATACTAAGCCTGGGAATGGGCTGCCCAGGGAAGTGGTTGAGGCACCATCCCTGGAGGTATTTAAAAGATGGGCAGGCATAGCACTTAGAGACGTGGCTTAGTGGTGGGTTTTGTCAGAGTTGGGTTGATGGTTGGACTTGATGATCTGAGAGATCCCTTCCAACCTGGGCAATTCTATGATTCTGTATTTCAGCTCCCTGACTGCCACGGTGTCTCTTAAGTCACGGTTGATCTTCTCCCCAGGCTGGGTCAGGCTGAGTGTTCATTCCAACCCAGGCAATTCTATGATTCTATATTTCAGTTTCCCGACTGCCGTGGTGTCTCTTAAGTCACGGTTAATCTTCTTCCCAGGCTGGGTCAGGCTGAGTGTTTGCAGGGTGAGGGGTCTGTTAATGCCCTAACGAGGTCTGCAGCCTTTCGGTGGGGGTGAAGCAGCCCCTCCGTGGGGAGGCATCGGGGTGGCAGGGACACCGCCTGCGAATTCACACCGTGCTGTGGCTGCTATTTAGGGGGGATTTATCTCAAATCCTGCTGCTGCCCAGTGTGGGCTGGTGGCAGGGGCCATGGGAAGCCTGGAGCTGATTCCTTCGGAGCCAGCTGGGCTGTCTCAGCCTGGGGGGAGGCTCTGGAGGAAGCTCTGGTGCCTCCAGGCAGGCGTCCAGCCACCTTCCCGCACCGATGCTGTGCTCAGCTGGAGCTGCTCCTGGCACCGGGCTGGCCAAGTGACCATGGCAGGGGAGTATGAGGGGGCCAGCAGTATCCCCTTGGCCCAGCTGGGACACGGAGCAGCTTTAGGGACACTGTGTGGGGTGGGAAAGGCTCTGCACCACCACCTGCTTTGATGTGGGGCTGGAACGCCCCATGTTCTCACTGTGGTGAGAGCCAAGGAGGGGGGTGGTGGAGGAGAAAGTCTGAAGGAAAAGATGTCTATCTGCTGAGAAGGTGCCTCACGCAGGCACGTCTGCTGGGGACAGGTTAATTCCCTGGGAGAGGAATGCTGTGGGAGCAGAGCAGGGTTGTCCTGGGGCTAGGGCCACCCAGTGCTGGATTTGGGGACACATGTGTGATTTCTGAGTGCCCCTCTCCCCACTCTACGGGTGGGTCAGGAGCCCAGTGGCCACCAAGCCCAGCGCTCTCAGCCGGGATTTCCATTCGGGCCAAACGGGAAGCCAAAGGGAGAGGGGGTGGCGTGAGCTTCGGAAAGAATAAACCAGCCACCCTTGTGTTGATCCCCTCCTGAAAAAGCCATCTCGGCCAAGCCGTGGCGTGACGTCATTCCCTCCTTGCAGTGGGAATTCGTGCACTTCCCATGATTGAGCTGCTCGACCGGGGAGCAATTTCCTGGCGCTCTCCTGGTGGTGACCCCCTGCCCGCACCTCCCCGTCCAGGCGTGAAGCCCTTGGCCACGGACGTGCGTAATCGTGAGCGCCGGGGGCTGCCCCGCTCCCCCCAGCACCTTGTGAAGAGCCAGTAAAAGTTGGTTTGGCTGCGGAAATCTCAGCGCAGAGTTTCCTCCTGGCAAAGAAGTGGAGCCTCCTCTGTCACCTCCTGGCTTTTGTGCATCGCTGCTCAAGGAGCTGAGCAGGGACGTGATTGTTCAGCCTGGAGAAGAGAAGGGTCCGGGGAGACCTTATAGCAGCCTTTCAATATCTGAAGGGTGCCTGTAGAAGAGCTGGGGAGGGACTCTTTGCCAGGAGGTGTAATGATAGGACAAGGGGAAACGGTTTTAAATTGGAAGGAAAAAGATTCAGATTAGATCTCAGGAAGAAATTTTTTACTATGAGGGTGGTGAGACACTGGAACAGGTTGCCCAGGCGGCCCCATCCCTGGAAGTGTTCAAGGCCAGGCTGGATGTGGCCTTGAGCAACCTGCTCTGGTGGGCAGCGTCCCTGCCCAGGGCAGGGGGGGTGGAACTAGATGATCTTTGAGGGCCCTTCCAACCCAAACCATTCTATGATTCTATATGGTGGGGACGGTGGCCACGGTGGCAGGTGGGCAAGGCCCAGGAACCTGCTGGTGCCAAAGCCAGTTCTGTGCCCGCCAAGGACGAAAAAGGGTCAGATTTTAATGTTTACAGGAGGTTTTTTTGAGACACGGCGTATGGTGCAAAGTACAAATTGCTTCAGCCACAAGAGCAAAGAGGCGTTGGGCCGGGTTGTTCCCTGTTGGCCGGTGGTGTTGACACTGGGTTGGCGTTCAGCCCACGTGCTGGGGACGGGCTGGCAGGGACTGGCCCAGGGGCCAACTGGTTTTGTGCTGAACGAGGGTCCCAGTGGTTCCCTTGCACCAGCAGGACACTGGTTTGGCTCATCCCAGTCTGTGCTGCTGAGGTTTGACTCCGTGCACAGGGGATGCAGAGCTCGGGATGGACCTGTCCCAGGAGGTCCCATGTTTTCTTTCACTCTCTAAATACACCAAACCCGCAGTGTTTGCTGGGGCTGGGCTCCCTCTGGAGCAGGACAGGAGAGAGCAGCTCCTCTGGGAAGCAAACTGGGCTCTGCAGGGATGCTGTGCACAATGGGGAAGAGGGACCTACCATCGGGTGGGATTAAGGCTGTGGCTGCTCGTCCCCAGATCCCCAGTGAGTTCCCAGGATCGTCCCTGCGAGGAGCTGCCACCTCCACCTCGAGCAGCCCTGGGAGTGGGTCACCATCTCCTCCTGCATGTTGTCCTATGTCTCTAGGGCTGGTGTCCCCTTCCCATCGTGTTTCCTGTCCCTGAGGCTGCTCTTCTCTCATTTAAAGCTCCACTCAATGTTGGTATGGACTGTACTTTTGGGGCTGTGAGTTATCCTGGGTGCTGTTCTGCTTTTTCTGGGATGGGATGGGGGATGCTGCATCCATTTGGAGAGCCCCTAGGGGTGCCTGGGGTGGGGGGGGCTTCCAGCCACCACCATCTGTGGGACCTGAACCCTGAGCCAGGGCTCCTGGTTTGCACTTTGCAAACATCTCAGTTTCAGCTGGAAGCTTCTGGGGAGGCTGCAACCCACCATGCTGGGAGTAAGACCTTCTTAGCTCAGCCCTTACAAATAGCTGACGGGGCTCAGCTCTCCCTGAAAGCTTGCTCTGACCCTGGAGATCAGGCTTTTAGTCCAACTGGTAGCACTGGCTCCTCTCCTAAAAGACGCTGCTGCAGCTCCTGTGTCTGGTGTGTGTGTGTGTTTGTGTGTGTGTGTGTGTGTCTGGCTCCAGCCACGCTGGGGCTTGTGCCGGGGCCGGACGCTGCCCTTCCTCCCAGGAAGAGCTCGGTGGGTGTGTGACTCCATGCATTCTGCATTTGAAAAGAAAAATTAAAGGAAGAGACAAAGCAGGGCTGGGATCCCTCATGGGAATGACCTGGGGCGTTTGCCACCCTGTGCCACGGCTCTGCCCTCGCTGCCCGTGCCCGGCTCAGCCACCCAGGGTGAACAGGTCCAGTGGTTTTGAGGCAAATATTAACCAAGGGCTTAGCTCCCTTTGCAGCCCCGTGACCTGGCCGCAGTCCCAGGGCTGTGTTGATCTGCTGCTGGGGAGAGGGACGGGGGTGCCCTGTGCTTGGCTCTTGGGCTGTTCCTGCAGCCGGGAGAGCGTCGGGCGAAGCTCCTGGCTGTAATGGGGCTGTTTAAATTCCCCTCTCGGTTATTAGTGCAGCTTCTCTCGACTCCACCTGTTCCCTTCCATAGCTGGACCGTGAATCACGTTGAGATCAGGGACCTTTTGTGGTCCCATCACCTCTGGCTCCTTTGTCACATCCCTGTGGCCAGGCTGAGGGCTGGCATGGGCAGAGCCATGCTGTAGCCGGGGTGGCCGATGGCACCCCCTGGGTGCTGGGGTCCTGCAGCTGCTTGTCCTCATTTCCCTTCATGCTACATGAGATGTACATTTCTATCCAAGTGTCTCAGATATTCACCTGCTCATCTACAGCTCCCTGAAGATGGGGGTAACCCAGGAGCACCCAGGGACCCCTCCATTCTAGCAGGGTGCTGCCTACCTACCCCAGCCCTGGGGTGTCCCACCTGAGTTCGGTGCCTCAACCCCTCTCCCCATGCCTTGTCTTTGCAGGAGACGTGCTCTTCCAGATGGCAGAAGTCCACAGGCAGATCCAGAACCAGCTGGAGGAGATGGTGAGTGCCCCAGCCAGCCGTGCCGGGCTCTCCTGGCTGCGGGCACTGCCGGTGTCGCAGCCGAGCAAATTCTTTTCCCTGTCTGGTCTGGGTGACACCAGCCCCTCTGAAGCAGATTTGCTGAGCTGCAAAAGCTCTGGTCTGCTCGGGCATCCACTCCTGCCCTGCTGAGCCCCTCTCTGGGTGTCCATCTGTCCCTCGCCACCCCCAGCCCCTGCTCTGTCCGTACAACCCCTCTCCCCAGGTGGCATTTGCCGGCCCCCACCAAGGAACCGTGTGGTTTTTTTCTCTTTCCTCCTGCAGCTCAAGTCCTTCCACAACGAGCTCCTGACGCAGCTGGAGCAGAAGGTGGAGCTGGACTCCCGGTACCTGAGTGTGAGTTGTGCTCCCGCGTGGTCCGGTCCCACCTCCAGCATCTCCCGTTCCTGCTGCCCCACTCCCTGCACGGGGACAGTCATGCCCGGGCACCGCTCCTCTCCCCAGTTCCAGAGGGGTCCCTGGCCATCACATCACACATTTGACAGCATTTTCCCCACTCTCAGGCTGTCACTGCCCCTTTTTACTCTCTGGGATGTGGGGATCCTACTTCTCCCAGAGTCCGGGGAGGGGGATTTTTCACTACAATTTGCACTAAAGCAGAGCAAGGCAAGGAGTCAAGAGGCAGGAGGGGCTTTGCTTATTGGGGGGGCAAACAGAATTGTCAAGATCAATTATGCATCTTTCATTAAGATGCTTTTGAACAGCTCAGAGTCTCAGCGTGGTGCAGTCTTGAAAAGAAAGCCACAAAAATGTGTTCACCTCGTCTGGGCTGTCGTTCCCCTCAAAAA